GAGTAAGCATTATGGGGGAGTGAAGTTAATTCTTTTTATTTTTATTTTTTGATTTTGTTCTGTTTATTGTGCGTTGTTGTGTTTATTGCTATACTTTGAACTGCTTTGCTGTTGTCTATCCATGGGGGAGTTTGTTATTTTCTTTATGCTTTTTTTGTTATGTTTTTGCAAAACTTTTTTATTTAGTTTATCTTAATGTTTTATTGACTAACCTTGTGTTTGTATTTGTGTTTTTTTTGGTTCTTTTGTTTGTATGTTTGTTCTTGCAAATCTGCAGGTTTGATTGGTTGATTAAAATAGGTTTGCACTTGATCTCATTTATGTTCTTTGTTCATAAGTTTGACAAAGGAGGAGAATATGGAATATTCATATTTGTCAACCTTATGAGTTGTGTGTGTGCACAATTGTTGCCAATCTTATGATTTGGCTTGTTTTCTTTGTTGTGTGTGTGCACATCAGTTCTGCATGCACATTAGTTGCCAGACTGGTGTCTTGGCTTATTTCCTTTAGAACGTGTGTGCACAATAGTTTGTGCTTATACTCTTGCTTCAGACATTTGCAACCCGGCTCATGTTGCATCTCTGATAAAGTGAAAAAAATATTGTTTATCTTTGTCTCTCACCTTTTAGGACCTTTTTACACGTGTCATAGTATCCTTAAGTGGTCATAGGGAATAAAGTTTCTTTTTTTTGATTTGTTTTGTGGTCCAAACCAAAAGAATGAATACTTTCCTCATTTGGACAAACATGGGCCAGTCCCTTGTTAGCTGATGTGACACTTATGTGTTGAGCAAGAAACCATTCACTATATATCATCTCATCTTGCATCTTTGAATCTAACCTTTTGATCTTTTATTTCATTATACTTTGAATTTTCTTATAGTATTCTTTCACTAAAGGTTCATAGGTTCATTTTCATTATGTACCAAAATCTCACCATATCAAACATAGACTTGATGGCTCTTGGAACATGGTTCCTTTGCTGATGCTGGTGCGTGGCATCGGTGCTTGAAGCTTGGTGGTTCATAAGCTGTTCTCGAGTGTGTTCCTGGCGTGAAGAAGGTCTAAGGAGTTGCTACATGTTAAGGATTTAGAGTGTGGGGTTAAGTGTAAAGTTGAATAAGGAGTTCTTTTTACTGTATCTTAGATCAATTTTGAACTATATCTTGTAATGTGTTTTTAACTTAATGGATTGCTTTGATCTGGATAAGGTCCCATGGATGTAGGCTAAAAGTGGATTTAGCTGAACCATTTATATGACCGTGTTCTTTATTTTCTGCACTTGTGTTTGATGTGGATAAATTGGAAATGTCTTAAACAACTTGGTAATATTTCCGCTACACTTAAAATGGGTAATCATACACTAAAGTGAGTTAAATATACAACTCTCTTCCCAACATATAGATTGGTGTATACATATTAAAAAAATAAATTATCATTATTTAAATTAATATATTGGTGTATATGCCTTTTAAATAGTGAATTATTATTGTATGATCAAAGCAATAATAATAAAATACCAAAACGACTTTTTCTTAAGCACTAATTAAAGTCTAATTATTTATTTATAAATAATAGATATTAGTGGGAATATTCTTTTGGAATATGCCAAGAGAATATTAGGGTTAGGGTTTGTGTGCCTTAACCCTTATTTCCCAATTAGCTTATTCTTGCCTCACAAGCTAAAAGTTGTAGAGATAAAATTTCCTAAAAAAATTTCTTCCCTTTTTCTTCTTTGAATCTCCACTCTCAAACTAGCAAATTGATTGAGTGGGTATTCTTGTCTTTTTGTGGATCACCGTTTGTTCACTTCCCCTCTTGAAGTGCAAGCGTTTTTCTTCAATTAAAAATCGGTGGAGCCTCCAACCGAAGGTTTGACTATAACGATTCTTTAATCTTTGTATATATATTTGTTTTGAATGAGTTATTAACATCAATCTATGATTTGGGATTAAATAGGTTTCGAATAAAATTTTTGTTTATTATTCTGCATTTTATTCGATTAAAACCCTACACTTTGAAACTTTGATCTTTGGTGAATTATCAACCATGAACTTGAACAAGCAAATCTCTTTACAAAAGGCCTTAAACATGGCAGACAATACACTATTGACAGATTCTTCTGAGGTAAAGAATTGAACCTTTAGCATCTCTGTTAATAAAAATAGAGGAATTTGATTCTCAAGCATCATCACGTCTTTTACAATCGCATTCGCGAAGCTATACTTCCTGAATAATCTTGCATACGCGACATCAGTAAGAGCGCAAGTGCTTTCATAAGCACCTCATCTTCTTCAACCGAAAGAATTTCACCAGCAGTAGCTGAGAGAGATATCTTAGACTTCTTATTTTCTTCGATGGCATAGAATATCACTTGAAGGAACTTGAACGAGAATGCTGTGTCGATGGCCATCACCCAGGCCAATGCGTCATCCGTTAAATATATGAACTTTTGATAGCATACTCGAATATCTGCTTCAAACTCCTCCATCAATTTCTTTACAAGATCTTTGAAATTAAGGTTTTGAAATCGAAGCTGCTGTTGAACGCTCGTCGCTGCAATCTTGTATCCCTCCATGTCATGGAGCTCTAGACGCCAATATTGGTTGGGACCAAGTGCAACATGTTGTGGAGTGTAACAATTAAGAGCCATATACATTAGAGTTTTAGGGTTGTTAAGTTGTCATCCCACCTAAAAGCTCAACATATATTAGACCAATAGGCTAAAAGGCTCAAACTTGGATTTTTTTTTTCTTTATCCAGTTTGTATGTAAGGATTCGAATTTGAGACTTTTGACTCTGATATCATGCTAAGTTGTCATTTCACCTAAAAGATTAAGTTAGTACGTTAGGGCTCACCATATATTAGATCAAAAATGAAAAAAAAAAAAAAATCCAAGTTTGATGTGAAGGGGTCTATTGGTCTAATATATGTTGCGCCCTCATCTATTGGCTTAAGCTTTTAGGTGGGATGATAACTTAATATGATATCAAAGTCAAATATCTCAAGTTCGAATTCCTATGTACAAACTGGATAAAGAAAAAAAAAATATAAGTTTGATGTGAGAGGTCTTATTGGTTTAATATATGTTGAGTTTTCACCTATTAGCTTAAGCTTTTAGGTGGGATGACAACTTAACATGGGGATGACGGGGACGATGAAAATTGAAATTTCGTTATTACTCTTGGAGCGCTCTTGCTCGATGCTTCTTCGATAGAGAGCCATGGATTCTCATCCATTACTGCACTCAGGCTGAGCCATGTGTTAATTAATTAAAATAGAAATTGTTGTTGAGTTGTTTGGGAAGAGTTGGGGAAATCTAGCTTTCTTTTATAGGTGATAGATGATTATAAATTTGATCATCACTATATCCGATTATATATATATAAATCTTTATTCTTAATTTAGTAGTAGTGGGAATTAGAATTTTGGGATCACTATTATTTGAATTTATATTTGATTTTTTCTTGAGTTATCTTTCCGTTTAGCTTAGTTGCCAAAAAAGAAAAGCTACAATTACTAGTATTATTCTATTGGCTTGAAAAACAAAGGAAGCCTCAATTTTACATAAGTTCCATGCATCAAACTAAACATTTTACCATTTTTCAGTGGAATTTGTGTTTATATAGGCATAAAAATGAAGATTAATTAGTCGGTTTTCCTTTTCTCACATATTTGTCATATAGAGTTATAAAAAAATCACGATCATCAAAACTATTAATCTATGAATGTTAATTGAAACATGGTGGGTGCAGTTTTAGAAGAACCAAAACCATCAAACATCTCGAAGAGCAAGAATTTTATTTACATGCCGGAATATAGTGTGTATAGTTGGGAAAGCATATTACACTGTATTTGATTTAATATTATACTTTATTATTGAGTAATCTTTATTCTTGATATGTTCCCAAAGAAGGGAAAAAAGTTACAAAAGTAGTGTTCTTATTCTTAGATCATAAATCACATGTTACATGCACGGTTCACCTGACGCGTGGGGATATAATATAGTACAATGTATACTTCATGAAACTCTTAGAAAGAATAAAACTAATTTAAATAAAAAAGCACTAAACCAGCTGGTATTGGTGGCTAAAAGAAGTTGATAAAAGTTTTGGGCCTATGGCAATCATTGTGCCTAATTGAAGAATCTCGAACAGGACTCACCATAACCTAATTAGTGAATTACATAATTAGTATAACCTTCATGTATAAGATTCTCTATTAACAATAAGTAATGAGTTATTTTCTCCTAAAGTGTTTTAATTACATTTGATTTGATATTAACCTCCATTATATTTGATAGTGCGAGGACTGCTTTTTTTTGTTTTTTAAAGAAGAAAATAAAAGACACCGGCATTCCAACAGTTTAAAACTTAAATTGTTGACACGAATTTTTAATCATGAATCATTGATAATTTAATGGTTTAAAAGTTGATAAGATGACAATGAAAATAATTACCTCTAACTTCCATCTAATATCCATTAGATTGTAATAAATCAATGGCTATAAATTTGTGTTCCAATTTAGGTCATAAGTTTAAGTTAAAATATCTCAATTCTGTATGTAATAAGTCTTACCCTAAAAAAAAAGAAGAAATGAATGAAAATATATGAAGATCAATTAAGAAAACAGTACAAATAAAACCGATAACTAGGAAAAGCATATAAAATTTTAGATACAGAGACTCTTAAGCGCAACTTAATATTAGGAACTTCTAGCAAGCATATCCAATTATCGCAAAATCAAGTTTTAACAATAGATTATTTTTTATTGCTTCAAAGAAAAAAAAAAGTATTGGTCTCGTTTGCATTTCCTAATTTGGCAACAACCTTCTTTCTTTATTCCTTGGACCCGAGAAAGCACTCGACAACCTTCTTTCTTTATTTTAAACAAAGAAAAACCTTTGAAACCTTCAGATAAATAACTCACACTCAGGAAAATAAAAAACAAACAAACAAAAACAAAGCCCTTTATTATTGCATGCATTGTGAGAGCTGGGCTACTTCTTGAAATGAAAGATGGTGGTGCAGTCGTAGGCGGAGCAGAAACTTTCAAACATCTGGAAGAACAATAGCAGAACTGCTGCCACGAATGTGAGAAACTGCCAGTATTCATAAACGTAGTTATTCATGAATTTTTTAGCTTTGATCTTCCATTTTCCATTGTAATACTCGTTGACACTCTTGATTTCTGCATCCAAATCTTTTACTTTTTTCTTCTTCAGAGACCTGCTCATTGTATTCCACATACTGGCTGCCTCTTCGTCGCTTTTCATCTTGTTACGAATAATGCCCGGTTCCTTCAAAAGCTTCACATCACCCACAGTATCGATAATTCCATTCATCAACTCAGTGTAACGTGTAAAATACAATGAGGCCGATGGATTCGATGCTTCATACGCCACTAAGTTTCTTAAAACCACTTCTGTGTTGTCATCTAAAGTGATGGGAGGGAGCTCAAATATAGCTTTCTTGGAATCAAATTTTATGTCTGTGAAACTTTTACCTTTCTTAATGGGAGAAAAACGTACCCCAGCTCTTTCAAGTTCGGTGGCGGACGGAATGTCGATCTCCGGTGGTTTACTATCATCTTCCCCACTTGATTCCGTTTTAGACAGACCATATGAACCCCATTGAAGCAAACATGTAACAGGCTTAACTATTAGACTCGCTTTTGGGGGAAGTTTTAAGCCACTAAGTGCGTCTTTACTCCCGGACAGGAGTCGACAAGTTTTATTTTTTAACTCATGTGGAGATTTGCTCTTCGGTTTCTGTTTATCTCCAACACCATCATCTTCAGTATTATCATCATCACCAGCTTGCTGACCATGTGATTTATCAGGTAGAATCGTGTCATACATGTAGTGGAGCAAGTGGTGATAATCATTGCGTTGTGGAACACCAGGCTTTTTGCTATCGGTCAAGAACTCGAAAGGGAAAACCTTCCGAAGAAAGGCGTCCAACAATTTATACAGCGTGCTAGTGGCCTTGGCGGGTGCTTCTTCGTTTGATGCTACTCCCTTTGATGAGTATAGAGCATGCAGCGTGTCTTCTAATAGAATTAGCGGAATTTGATTCTCAAGCATCATCATATCTCTTAAAATGGCATCCCGAGCAGCCGTACTCTCTGTATACTTCTGCACATTTTTAATTCCAGTCACTAGGAAAGATATAATTTGTCGATCTTCAAAGAGGTCCTCACCTCCGTCGATGGAAATTTCACGCTGATCTGGAGTATTTTTCATTATTTTATCCCGCTTGTCTGCTTTCTTCAGCCAAATCACTTGAAGGAACTCAATCAAGAATGCTGTATCTACCGCCATCAACCAGGCTAAATTGTCGTCTTTAAAATATATGAACCTTTGATAGTGAGCGCGAATCTCTTCGTGTTTTTTGACGAATTTATCGACAAGATATTTGAAGCTACCTCCGGGTAGATGTTGCTGAAAGTTTTTTGCGGCGGAAATCTTGTAACCCTCCATGTCATGGAGCTCGGGGCGCCAACAATGGTTGGGGCCAAGTGAAATATGCTGTGGAACGTAAGAAGTAGGAGAATTATGCATTAGGGTTTTGGGGACAAGGAAAATAGTGACATCACGCTGATTGGCCGATTTGCATTCAATGCTTTTAATGACAATATTGAGCCAACGTTCCTGCTCATCCATGAGTTGAGAATGAGGAAACACAAATGTGGACAGACTTGGAAGGCTTTGGGAGCGTTGGGGAAAACTACGAGGAGCCATTTGTGTTGTATTTTTGAAAATATTTGGTTAAGTTCAACCGAGACTGGTGAGTGTTTTATAGGTAAAAAGACTTATAACAAAGCATTTTTCTAGACTAAATCTTTACATTATTCTTAATTAAAGTTACAAAAATATTATTCTTATTCTTAGCTCAAAAAATTTGGAGTGGTCTTTCTCAATGTTAATTGCCTTTTTTTTTTTTTAAGAGAAGAAATGATCATTAATTTATATACATTTTAAGCTCTTTCCGTATCTTATTTTTAAACTATTAATTCAACAAAATTTTGTGAACCCACCACATCTTTTTCTCTTTGGCTGTATATAAATATATGCTCCTTACCTTAATTAGAGATATAATGGGGAAGGTTAAGGAGCACTATTTTTTTTTATACAAAATATGAGTCATTGGATCAACGCACTATGAGTGTGACATTCAGTACAACTTGCATAATTAATGTATAAAAAATGTGGTGTTCCCGAACCTTCTCCACACCAAATTTCCACACCAACCCCACCGAGAAGGACAACCACACTACCACTGAAGAACCACCATGAGTGGAAGAGATAGAAGATAGTAGTACTTCCTCTAGTGAAACTGAGGCACCTAGAAGGAGAAGAAGAAACTTTGATGATGATAGGGGTATTAAGATAGACTTACTTAAATTCAATGGAAGTCTTAACCCAAATGACTTCATTGATTGGTTGCATGAGATTGAACGGTTATTTGAGTTTAAGAACTATAATGAGGAGAAGAGGTGTAAAATAGCCATATTGAAGTTTAAGGAGTATGCCTCCTGGTGGTGGGAGAATACAAAGAGGAAGAGAGAAAGGGAAGGGAAGACTAAGATTAGGTCATGGGAAAAGTTGAAGAGAGTGTTGAAGAAAAGGTTCTTGCCTGACAATCACAAGCAAGACCTTTACCTTAAGCTCCATAATTTGAAATAAGGAGATAGAAAAGTTAAAGAGTATATTCGAGAGTTTGAAGGATTAGTGTTGAGAAGTGATATTCCGGAAGAGAAAGAACATACAATTGCAAGATTCATTGGCGGTTTGAGTAAGGACATTGCATACAAGATTGAGTTGCAAACTTTCCATTCTTTTGAGGATGTTTGCAAGCTGTCCATTAAGATTGAGAAGCAATTGAAGAGCATGAAGTCTTTGGCCCCCAAGAGACTCTTTAAGGAGAATAACTACCAAAGGGGTTCACCTTCTTACACCAAACCATATGTGGCACCTACGGCTTATGATAAGAACAAAGCCAATGAAACACAAAAGGAGAAACCAGGTTTTGTGAAGAATGATACTCCATGGCCAGATTTGAAGAACAAAAAGTGTTTCAAGTGTCAAGGTTATGGACACTTCCAAGCCAATTGCCCAAACCGAAGGGTTATGACCCTTACAGAGATTAATAAGATTGATGATGTATGTCAAAGGGATTCTAGTGAAGAAGAGGAAGTAGATGAGAGTAAGAATGATATTATTGAGGAAGCCGATAGTGGAGAGATGCTTATATTCAAGAGGTTGCTGCATGCTCAAGTAAACCCTCAAAAGAACCAAAGGGAGAACTTGTTTTATACAAGGTGCACCATCAAGGAGAAAGTTTGCTCAATGATCATTGATAGTGGGAGTTGTACCAATGTTGCTTCCACCACACTTGTGGAGAAATTGGGGCTGCCAATTGTAAATCATTCTTATCCATACAAGCTACAATGGTTGAGCAATGGAGACACTATCCAAGTAGTCAAACAAGTAGTAGTACCATTTTCCATTGGCAAGAACTATTCGGATGAAGTGCTTTGTGACATCATTCCCATGAATGCTTGTAATCTTTTACTTGGAAGATCATGGCAATATGATTGAGAGGTGATCCATGATGACCGTAAGAACACCTACTCGTTCAAACTCAAGAAGAAAACCATTACTCTTGCACCATTAGCCCCTACCCAAGCCATTGTCCAAGCTCCCACACAAACAACTTCCCAAACACTTTCCCAAACACCATCTAAGGAACCAACCCGAAAAAAAAAACTTTTCCTAAACAACACCCAATTAGAGAAAGCCTTCTAAAAACACTAACCTCTTATTGCACTCTTTATAACCGAGACAAACCAAGAGAGAAAAGAACCTAAATTTCACCTGAAAGTTCACCATCTCTTGGATGAATTTGCAGATGTTTTTCCTCAAGAGTTACCAAGGGGTTTGCCACCACTCAGGGGAATAGAACACCACATTGATCTGGTGTAATCCTAATAGGCCAACATACATTTACAAGTCCTAAAACACTTGTAAACATGAGTGGACAAGGAATTACAAGTCCTAAAACACTTGCTAATTCGATTGAATTGAAGAATTTCACTCAAAGTCCTAAAACACTTGGATTGTAGAATGTGGAAAGCAATGGAGGAAATTCTCAGCCTAAGCAAGTTCAAAGGAGGGAGGGAGTCCAAACATTTCGGCCCAAACCATTCCAGGCCCAAGCTCAACAAGGGAAGCTCAAACCCACCAAGAAAGAAGCTTAAGTGTTGAAGTGGTCCAATCCGGCCCAACTCTCATTCCAAAGGAGAAGATCCACATGAACCATTATTGGATCCATTTGCATGATTCTCAAGGCCCAAACTTTTATACCCTTATTAGTAGACTTAATTAGGATCATTGATCAAGTTTTGATCTAATGAAGTAAGCTTATTTCAACTAATGGGGTGGTTAAAAACATAGATCCTAGAATTAGGGAATTGTGTCTCTTTGCATTAAATAGGTGACCTTGCTTTTTGAATGAATGGCTTGTAATATTAGTTAAGTTTATTTTTATTTTATTGTATTTGTCAATTACTTGTTTATCCTTGTATTTACTTATATAAGGGCAACTATTTCATTGTAACAATTAGCTTATGAAATATATGAAATTGGTTTATCCATTTGAGAGAACTTTTGTGTTCTTGAGTGTGCATTCTTTATCCAAGTCTTGGCAAGTGGATTTGGTGGTGAATCAATTCAAGTTGGTGGAGTAATCCTTTAGGCTTGAAGTGTTTCTACTTGTCTTGGTTTGGATTTGCAAGTAAGTGTGATTTAGTTCATGTTCTTAGTTTAGCCCAATTTCTCCTTGATTTTTGGAGTATGTTGTGTTGTTGAAATTGGTTGGAAATGGATCAGTTCACCTCATTGAAGCCAAAGAATGGAGGAAATGTCCGCTTTGGTGACATCTCAAAAGGAAGAGTCATTGGCATTGGCTCTATTGATAACAAGTCTCTAACTATACAGGATGTGTTGTTTGTTGACGGATTGGGGCATAATTTATTGAGTACTAGTCAATTGAGTGACAAGGGCTTTAAAGTTGTTTTTCAATCCATGTGTAGTGAAGTCATTGAGTCTAGGACTAGTAAAATTGCATTTATAGGTCATAGACATTCAAATGTTTATATAGTTGATTTGTGTGAGATTGCATCCAAATATCTTTGTCTTCTGTCCACAAAAGATGAAGATAGTTGGCTTTGGCATAGAAGATTAGGTCATGCAATTGCATGGATGTTATTTCAAAGCTTTCAAAAAGAAATTTAGTGCATGATTTGCCTTAGCTTGTTTTAAAAAAGGATCATGTTTGTGATGCATGTGCAAAAGGCAAACAAACTCATGTTTGTTTTAAACCAAATAATGTTGTATCAACCTTTAGACCTTTACAATTGTTGCATATGAATTTGTATGGTCCCACAAGGACAACTAGTCTAGGAGGTAAACATTATTGTTTTGTGATAGTTAGTGATTATTCACACTTTAATGGGTGCTATTTTTTGCACATAAAAATGATGCATTTGAATCATTCTTGCATTTGATTAGGAAATTGCAAAACTAAGTCGGTTATGCAATCGCTTGCATTAGAAGTGATCATGGAAAAGAATTTGAAAATACATTCTTTGAATCATATTGCAATTAGCATAGCATAGAGCATAATTTTTCTGCACCTATGACTCCTCAACAAAAGGGAGTTGTTGAGAGGAGAAATAGAGTTTTAGTAGAAATGGCTAGGACCATGTTGTGTGAGCATAATATGCCTAGATATTTTTGGGTTGAGGCCGTCAATACTTCATGCTATATCATTAATTGAGCTATGATTAGACCGATCTTCAAGAAAACTCCATATGAGTTGTTCAAAGGGAAAAAGCCAAATATTACATATTTTCATCCCTTTGGTTGCAAATGCTTTGTGCTTAATAATGGTAAGAACAACCTTGGAAAATTCGATGCCAAATCGGATGAAGCAATTTTCCTTGGTTATTATTCTCATTCGAAAACGTATAGATCGTCAACAAAAAAAACCCTTTTAATTAGTTGAAGAATTTATACATGTGTTATTTGATGGATCTTCCTCTAAGAATGCAGAAAATCTTGGTGAAGAAGAAGTTGATGAGTTGATGAAAGAGCTAGAAATGAAAGATGAAACTTCACCATCAACCGACAACAAGGAAGAAGAACATCAAGAAGAGGTTAATGATGAAAATGATACATTTATGGAACCTCAAGAACCATCGAGGGAGATCTCATTTCCAAGAGTGAGAGGTGAAGTGAAAGATGCATAAATCATTAGCGATCCCACTCAAGGAGTAAGAACAAGGGCATTAATGAGGAACACTGCCATTTTATAGCATTCTTATCTCAAGTGGAACCTAAGAAAGTGGATGAAGCACTTAATGATAAAGGTTGCTTTCATGCAATGTAGGAGGAGCTAAATCAATTTGAGAAAAGCAAAGTATGGGAGCTTGTACCAAGATCTAAAGACCATCCAATCATTGACACCAAATGGGCATTCTGGAACAAGATGGATGAGCAAGGTATTGTGGTAAGAAACAAAGCAAGGTTAGTTACTCAAGGCTATTCTCAAGAGGAAGGTATTGATTTCGATGAAACTTATGCCCCTTTTGTTAAATTAGAAGCTTTTAGAATGTTACAGGCTTATGCATGCCATTTAGATTTCAAAATTTTTCAAATGTATGTTAAAAGTTCCTTTT